TTGGCACCGACGCCTGAAATCAATCCTTCCTGCCACAGCAGTGCTCATCCTATTGGAAACTCATTGGGATCGGTGCACCACAGGTTAACATTTGGCTCGGTGTAGCCCCAAATCCCAAAGCAAAACATAGCGCTCTGAAACTTTGCAAACAAAAAAACGGGGATCAACTAGTCCAATATGTTTCAAGATCAATCAGATCACTGCATCACTGTTACTCAACAAAGTACTTGACATTAGCAAAATGAATGTAATGTATACACTGTAGTTTAAAATAATGACCTTCATGTCGTCAAGGACGACCCACATGACTCTGCTCTGCTGTGGACGGCGCAGGAACTCGGCACGCCCACCGCAACAGCCCAGCTTTTGACGGACGCGCTGCGGTGATGAATGGCTCCCCGCGCAAGGCTGAGCCGAGGCTCCCGCACGTCATGGCTTGGACAATGGGTAGGATTGCATCGAAACAGGTTCACCTACAGTGAAGAACATCCCAAGAGATGTGTCGATGATATACACAAATATGATCAAGTATGTATGTTTATATATATATAATGCTATTATATAATTAATTTATATATATATTATGGCTCGCTTGTTTGTGGAACAAATATGGACAAGTACTTGGGATTAGCTGATCTTTGGGTGGTGTATCCTCACCAAACCCCTATGCACTCTGTGTATCCTCACCGACATCCAAGAAGACTCATGTCCAATACAGAGGTTTAAACACTGTACCCCAAAGTGGGATGTTGATCCACCCCCATCCACCCATATTTCATGTGATTTTGTGATCCCTACAATGCCGCGCAGGGCTTCGGCACAGCGGACACTCCTTGCTTGGCAAGGATGAAAATCGGTTTAGCCCCACCTGAGAGGAACCGGAGCATCCATGCCATGGTCATTCAACAGCTGCACCAGTGTGCAGCTTTCACAGGATGGCTAGCTTCGAAAGTCGTGGCGTATCCATGCTGTGTCGCTGTGAAGAGGCCACGATAAAATCAGCTACGTTGTTATGGATGTTTATAGTGTATGCTATATACATACATACATACATACATACATACATACATACATACATACATACATACATACATACATACATACATACATACATACATACATACATACATACATACACACAAAGACATACATACACACAAAGACATACATACACACAAAGACATACATACCTACAAATACCTACTACATACATGACATACATACATACATACATACATTACATACCTAAATTACAGTACATACCTACATAGCATCCTTACATCCATACATACCCAAAATACATACAATACATACATCATACATACATACATACATACATAACATACTACATACATCATACATTACTACATCCATAACATACATACATACATTACATACTACCGTAACATACATACATTACATACATACATTACATACATACATACATACATACATACATACATACATACATACATACATACATACATACATACATACATACATACTTACTTACTTACTTACTTACTTTACATTACATTACATTACATTACATTACATTACATACATACATACATACATACATATACATATATATATATACATACATGAAATTCTGTTGTTGAACATGATTCCACTGGTTTCTCAACATGATTCCACTGGTTTCCATCTCAACCTTGGAAGGACCTGGCCAGGTGCCATCTGCTACATGGGCAGCCACTGGATGTAGCTCGGTGGAAGTGATAATGAGACAATGAGCCCCAGAAATCTGGTCATGTTTAACCATAGAATTTGCAGATTTGGGGAAGAAATGTGTTCAACTTAAAACATGTGACCATCAGATGCCATCACTTGGGGACTTGTCTCAGGATCTGCACCTCCAAGATATAGATGTCGATGTAGATACAGATACAGATTAAATATTATTAGACGATGTAGATACAAATAACATACATATTATATATATGTGTGTGTGTGTATCAATTCCCCAAGTTTAAGTACCCTCCTCTAATCTAACCACTGGAAAATTCCTACACAGTAGGGATTTCCCAGGCCAGAGTACTGAGCCGGGCCACCAAGGTCCAGTGCTTGCCCCGTTTTTGAGCTCTCACCATGGCGTTTTTTCGAAAAAACTGGCCTGGCGAAATCGGTAAAATCATCCCAAAGCCCAACCCCCATGTATGATACCCTCTGGTAATGGCTGACGTAGCTATTGAGAATGGCCATAGAAATAGTGGATTTTCCCATGAAAAATGGTGATTTTCCATAGTTATGTAAACGTTTACCAGAGGGTATAATACACAATACTGCATTGGTTTGCCCAAAATCGGGGGATACCCCAACGTATTACCATTTCAATGGAGGCAAAATGATGAAACACGATAGGGATATCCTACTTTCCCAAAAAATAACGTTCACTGTCCAAAAAAACATCCCAAGTCTCAAACCCCACATACCGTCGCATATACCTGGGACCCAAATGACCATCCATTTTGTTGTGGGTCTATCATTACAATTGTTCATATTATTACTATTGTTGGTATATGTTGGTATGCATATGCATGATAGGCTATATATGGACATTTCTCAAAATGATGGACCCCCAAGTCCCAATGGGTTTCAATACTAAGTCATGGTCAAATTTGCATGATTTGGAGATACCCCCATGACTCAGCAAACCTCCATGTTTATGTTAGCTAAGTTCGTTTATATCACTTTCACTATGGTTTACGGTAGAAAAAAATAAATAAATAAACTCAGGTGCTATCCCCAACAGCTTGAAAGCTTCCGCGTTTTTGCCATAAAAAGTGCTTATGCCATAAAAAAGTAAGCGCCGCTTATGCCATAAAAATCAAGTGCTTATGCCATAAAAAAAAAACATCGGAACCCTTTGGAATTTCACAAAGCATCTGCACCAGAACCCGCCGGAATCTCACAAGGTATCTGCACCGGAACCCTCCGGAACCTCACCACGCATCTTCTCCGCCAAAACCCTCCGGAACCTCACAAGGTCTCTGCACCGGAACCTTCCGGAACCTCACAAGGTATCTGCCCCGGAACCCTCCGGAACCTCCGGAACCTCATCAGGTAGCTGCACCGGAAACTTCCGGAACCTCACAAGGTATCTGCACCGGAACCCTCCGGAACCGCACACAACCCTCTGGAGCCTCAGCAGGTATCTTCACCGGAACCCTCCGGAACCTCACGAGGTATCTGCACCGGAACGCTCCGGAACCTCACGAGGTATCCGCACCAGAACCCTCCGGAACCTTGTCCGGAACCTGATGTTGAAGCTGCACCGGATCGCACCGGAGCTAATCTAGGCTAAAGACCCCATAGCAAAGTTTTGCTGTTGGGGAATGATATAACATGTATATAACTATAGATATAACTTATAACTTATAACTCATTATAGTAATCATGGGGGATACTGTATAACATGTATACATGTATATAACTATAGATATAACTATAGATATAACTTATAACTTATAACTCATTATAGTAATCATGGGGCACCTAAATATATATATATATATCTTTTTCTATACCGAAACGATCTATCGCAGCTCCACCTGCACCAGACTGACGTACTTCCGACACGTCTGCGCCGTGGCGATGACCAGCACCAGCGCAGCCAGGCGCATCATCAGCTGAGCGAAGGCTTGGGAGCCAAGGCCGCCTTCCCAGCCTCGCCGCTTCGGCTGAAATGTCTGAAGAAATCGATGTGAAACATGGTGATTTCACACGAATTCGGATGTTTGGAAGAAAACTGGGAGGCTGAATAGTTCAGCTGAAAAGGATCGATGAATAGATGGATTCAAAATGAATTGAAGGAAAATTGATGGTTGAAACTTGAAAACAATCTCTTTGTTGCATCAAATATGGGGCCACCTGTGAAGTTGCCCTTGAACCAATTCTCAGCAATGATATGGTGATATGGGGTGGCAGTGATGGAAGTACACTGCGACTCAGACCAAAGAGTTGACTATTTGCCAACAAAATCGCAGGTTTCAGCAACAAAAATGGTGATATCAGCAGCCAAAGTTTAGGATTTCATCAATAATATTCAATAATAATCTATGGTGCTCATCCTCATCATCATCATCATCATCATCATCCTCATCATCATCATCATCATCAGTTTAGTTTAGTTTATCTTCGGACAAAAAAAAGGACTCGTCATCTAATCATCTATGGTGCTCCCTTGGCTGTGAAAAAGTCATGTCATTTGGGTTCATCCACTCCTCAAAACAATTGTAACCACCAACCAGACGGAATCAAAGTTTATGGTGTGCGGATCATCTGAGATCAGCTGGATGTTCAACCCATCCAATCGGGCTATGTATAGAAGAGATTTCGGCTTTTGGGCCACTACCAGCTGTAGATGTGAAATGAAGTTTGTCTTGAAATTACCATGACCTCCGGGTCCCAACAGGGATAAATGAAGCCTCAAACCTCGATGTTTCACAAGAATGCACCATCAGGGCACGTTGATTGGGGGATCCTGTTGAAGCCAATGGATCCGAGGCTCCGAGGTCGAAAGCATCCGGCAAAACGGCAAAACAAGCCGTGAAAAGACCCTGAAATGATCAGGAAATCCCTCGGGATGAATATTGAAGTACATCAAATTAAATCAATAGTGGAAATATATTGCTATAGATCAGTTTATGACCCCTTGGACCTTATTCCCCCAACCTTTCCTGGCCGAGTCGCCACATTCCTCGGGCGGCTCTTCCGCCGGTGTTGGCTTCTCTTCCCTCACAACCCTGGGACTGTCGAAGTGATGCCGCCTCAGCGAAGCCAAAATCGGTGGGTTCAACCAGAGAGACGCGAAGAAACAATAGAAATCACCACTTTTTTGACCATTCCCCTACCATCCCCCTACCATTCCCCTACCACCCCTTCGGTTCAGGCGCAGCCGGTGGTGCCGCAGCACCTGCGATGACTCTCCGAAGTCCTCCTCAGTCTCGGTCTCCCAAAACCAGGGCAGGCAGCAGCTGAGGCTCAGCAGGGAACCAGCCCCCACACTTGCAGCGCCCCGCTGTCGCTTCCTTAGGGTACTGATTTAACCAACCTGGAGGCCTTGAGGATGATGAACAACAAGAACACTTGGGGGATGTAAATTAGTGGGAAGTAAAGAAAATAACAGAACGGGGAGATCGTCAACATCAATGAATGAAGGTTGATAGAAACAATTAAGACCGGTTCATATGTTTGGTTTGCATCTTCAACTTGCATGCGGCTCTCAAATATTCCCGCATATAACCCCCACAAGTTATGAAATGACTAATCCATTTTCACCTGCACCCGCCATCAGTCAGGTTTTACCAAAGAACAGCATCTCCAAGGCACTGCATCAGCACAGAGGACGACGAAGGATTGCGCACCAGCTCATCCTCCCCAGAGCTATCCACCGTGATCTTCAAATCGGCGATCTTCATGGTGGAGGTCCAACCTCACCAAGCCCGGGGCGTCAGCATGTTCCCAGTGAGATGTTTCAGGGCCAGAACCCTAACCCAGAATCATATCAAGGCCAGCAACTGTCATTGCTCCAGGTGAACCATAGGAGTCCAGAAACGCCCAACGGTCCACAATGGCCAGAAACGGCACCTGATTTGAGTGCCATGAGCTTGGCTACATCTTACACTTGCATGGTCAAATTTGTTTGATACTAATATTGGGGGTCGAGCCGCTTCATCCACGGGCCAACCACTTTGGTGGGACATGTTGAAAGTGATGACACACTGAGTGGTGGAAGGGTTTCAGGCATGTAATCCATGAAACATAGCGCAGAAGCGCAAAATGGAAGGCCGGAGCTTCTTGTTCCTCTTGTTGATCTCTGACAAGATGAACACACTTGACCAAACTTGAACACACTCATAAAATCAGTTTGTGCTTAGTGTATCCTCATCATCATCGTTTCAGCGTTGCAAAAGATTCAAAAGATCCAGGGCCGGGCCTGTCACCCCTTGCATTGGGAAGACTTCATGGGTCACAGGACCTCGGAATCGTCGGAATGGTGTCCGGCACGTGCATTTCTGGCACCATTGGTCCCATGGAATACGGCCATACCGGCCACAGCCTGAAAATGTCACTGCTCAAATGGAGCAAAATCAAAGGGTTTTGCGACTATCATGTGCACATGTCGCCCGTCTTCAGCGTCACTTCTTGGAAAACCCGTTGTCCGCAACGGGAAAAACATGGCCAAGTTCAGAGACCCCTGACTTAATATAACTTACCTAACAGTACTCGATGCTGACAGGATAACTTACCTAACAGAAGACCTGAGCAACCCCGTTCGATTGAATAAAACGACCCCACAATTCTGGTCATGTGCAACTGCTATTCCATCCGCTTGGAATATTGTCTTGGAATATCATATGTTTCTCGGATACAATATACTCAATATACCAAATCACAAACCTGAAATCAAGGCATATGGGCATGATTCCCCCATATATGAACCATAATTCAAGTGAGGTCGTTATATAATTCATCTACATAATCCCCATGATTTTCCATAAGTTTTCAATATATATGCTAAAAAACACCATATTTGATTCTTAAATCAAGTTAAATCATGTCAAATCATCATTTTACACCAGGAGTTTCTTCAACATAAGCATCCTTTTTTAAGGTCCTGATTTTTTTCCATCTCCATTCTTACGACCAGAGACTGGGTCGGCCATCCTCGACCTCCTCGAAAAAAATCACCTCGCTTTTAGGAAGTTGACGAAGCCCCAAAGAGAATGGGCTGTGAATGATTCAAAATTGATGGTAGAATGGTGGTAGGTGATATAATGGTGGTACAGTATATTGTTGGTATAGTGGGGGTATAAAACCAAGCTGTTCTGTTGGGTTTCAATCTCTGGGTCCGGCATTGGTTCGTGTCTTTGCAGGGCCAAAAAAATGGAATGGAACCGGACCGCTGGAATCCGAAACCCGACAATCTGCTGCTGGGTTGCAAAACTCGGTACTGTACATGGTGGTGTAAAACCAATCATTCTATGTATGTAGAATGGGTATGTAATCCAAAACTAATTCTACGAAAAAATGCATCGCTAAATGCTAAAAACAACCATGCATCATGCATACCATATTTTTGAGCCATACAAAAACGGATCCTTCTGGTGTGTTTGGGAAGAATTCACGTCGTGCATCTCAAAGACTTCTTGTTGGGATTTCGTAGAATCTTACTTTGTTGGTGGAGACTTGTTCTCCGACCAACTCTGAAGGTATAAATGCATATAAATGCATTATATACTTCTGTTATGTAGCTGGACGACGTTGCGGGTGAGACAAAGCGGCACAACTCAAGTAGTTCACCCACTCGAATGCCGCCAAGCACCTGCAGCTGCAGGTAGCACCCGGGGGGCTGCACTTCAAAGGACCATTGTGCTTTGCACCCTGGGGAAAGCACGCGGTACCTCGCAGGAGCGACTAGAGATAGCTTTGTAGTCAGCGCTGATGGTGGCAGAACCAACCGTGCCATTACCAGAGGGCTGGCGCCCCAAGCTGACACCGAGATCTGCACAGGTTTATGGGTGGATGTGTCAGCAGTGTGTGTCCGTGCAATGCGCAGAATTTTATCCATCGATCCCGATCCGATCCGATGGCATCGGGCACTGAAAACTGGACCTCCCCGGAGGCCAATCCATGGACGCATCCCTCTCTCCTGCCGATGACTCCGACATCTGGGAACGGATTCTCCATCGGGCTTTTTCAGGCGCGAAAAAAAATTGGAAACCAACAGCTTCTGTCATAAACCATATTCAAAACCCCTACCACATCCTATCACCCTCTGGAAACTCTAGTGGAATGTAGTTGAAAATCAGGGGTTATTGTGATCGGCAGAAGGGATTAATCACCAACTAACCAACCAACCAACCAACCAATCATTCGTAGTTTGCATCCCCAGCTTTGTTGCTTAAATCCATAAATCCTGACTTTTGGATCTCCCCTCACTTCTTGACAGTTTCTCTCCCAGGAACCTCGTATGTGCCATGGTCAAAACAGGGCAAACGTGGTATGGTCTCATCGCCCCACCCCTCCCAGATCCAGGGCTCCGAGGTCTGCGAGCGCTTGTAACGCAGAGGTGCCCGTCATGGCCGCCAGTTTCTGAGGAAATTCGAAGGGCCCGTCAGGGATGAAGACGAACTTCCTGGGAAGAAAACAGGCCAGGATAAAACAAGATGAATAGTGATGTAGATTTCGAAATAGGAAAGAATGTAAATACTGGTATGATAAAGAATTCAGATAAAGATATACAACAATCTATAGTTATAGATATGATACTTCCCCCCAACATCCCGTGCTGAGAATATCATTTCGAGGCGCTGCTTGATTCGTTGGTTCAGCATTGGCTGTACAGCCATCCAGAGCATGTTGAATCCTAAGCACATCCGAGCCCTCAACTGCCTGCGGCTTGCAGCTTCCGGCCTCTGCCAAGATCTGCCAAGTCACCAGCAGGTGGATTCACAATAATCATTTTGGACAAGGTCTCAGGATAGGCTGTACTGATGATCTTAAAGACGTCTGCAAGACCTCAAAAAACGTGTGCGCAGGCCAGGGGCATTCATTGAATGGAAGGAAAATGAATGTTGTTTTTTTATATAAACACGATGAATTGCTGCAAACCAAACAGCTGTGTTCTAAAAAATGTGTCTTTCCAAAGTCTTCAAACAGTGAAACCCTGGGCGTCAGCACCTAGGACCCCCTTTTGCCTTGGCGGCCCAAAATACAAAAAAAACTACCATTTACCAGAGATTAGCACCAAAAAAAACGGAGCTGTAAACTCTGTAGACCATTCCATTGACACCCAGCTGCGTTTCATCACGGCACGGTTTCGCACCACTGCGGAGATGTTTAACCCCGTGAGATCGCGGACCTGCCATGCCAGATTTTCATGCGCGGAACTGGTGGCCATGATCACTAACATACTCACTGCGGTTGTTTTTATACCTGGGTGTGTCTGCAAATTAAGGGAAAACGCTAAAATTGACTGGTTAATAACAATATTCCTAGCATTAGAAGTGTTTCCTTCTGCTAAAGTTCCCTTTTTTAGACACACCCCACCATATTGCTGGTGATATATCCCCATTGCATTCCACTATGTCCGGTTATATTCCAAGTGAATCCCATTGAATCCCAACGAATCCCAATGAATCCCCATCAAATCCCAATTAATCTCCATGAAACCTCAATCAATCTGCACTAAAATCTCCATGAAATCCCATGAAGTCCCCAATTTGCACACCACCTGAACGAACTTCACCAGGCGCTGTGATTCCTCGCTGCATCTGTCCAGGTGCATCTCTCGAAGTTCACCTAAGAATATATGGGGATTGGCCAAAGCCTATTGTAAAAAAAAAAACTCAGGTGCTATCCCCAACAGCTTGAAAGCTTCTGCCTTTTTGCCATAAAAAGTGCTTATGCCGTAAAAATTGTGGCGCTTATGCCATAAAAAACATGGGAACCCTTTGGAATTTCACAAGGTATCTGCACCGGAACCCTCCGGAAGCGCACAGAACCCTCTGGAGCCTCAGCGGGCTAAATACCCCATAGCAAAGTTTTGCTGTTGGGGGAAAAAACTTCCATTAACCGGCTAGTCAATATGGCTATTAACAGCTATATGGATATATAATAACTATGTGGATATATATGGTCCCGTGTCCCGTGTTCCCACCCCCCCCCAATGGGATGGGGGGGGGTATGATGCCCCTGTGGTGGTGTATATACATACATACCTACATACCTACCTACCTACCTACCTACCTACATACCTACGTACATACATACATACATACCATTACATTACATTACCTTACCTTACATTACCTTACCTTACCTTACATTACCTTACCTTACCTTACCTTACATTACCTTACCTTACATTCCATACATACATAACATAACATAACATAACATAACAATACAATACAATACCATACCATACCATACCATACCTACATTACATTACATTACATTACATTACATTACATTACATTACATTACATTACATACATACATACATATACAGACACACACACACATACATACATACATACATACATACATACATACATACATACATACATACATACATACATACATACATACATACATACATACATACATACATACATACATACATACATACATACATACATAATACATACATACATACATACATACATACATACATACATACATACATACATACATACATACATACATACATACATACATACATACATACATACATACCAACATACATACAACATACATACCCATACATACCAACATACCAACATACCAACATACCAACATACCACCACCACAGGCCACGGGGGGGGGACCAGAAGAACCGGGGGGGGGGGACCAGAAGCACAGCCAGGGGGGACCCAACACCACCACAGGCCACAGGGGGGGGGGACCAGAAGAACCAAACGATACTGTCCACCCATACCCATTGGTGGGGGGGGGAGGGGGGGTGGCCAACGCTGCACCATATATATATATATATATGCCCATTAACCAGCTAGCTGGGGCTAGGGTACCAGGGTTTTCACTCATAGCCATATCAAGGGGAAAGAAACATCCAGGAGGAATTCAACACACAGCTGAAATCAATGGATAGATTGGAGAGCTGCAAGCTCTATATATATATCATATATCTCACAATCACGTATATTTATAGATATACACAGGAGTGGTATGAATTGGCATATTAATCCCTATATCAATTGGATATTAATTGGAATATGATTATGGGTCATGGTCACAGTTTGGATTCATGTTGGGGATGGGTCATCCATCTAGAATGGGATGTCCAACGTAATGGGGATATGAACTTCTACAAGGCCCTACAACTGGTGATGACCATTTCCGCCCCGCAAAAAAGCAATTGCCATGTTTTGAGTATGAAATAAGACACCTATAGTCACTATAGAGATGTTTGGATTTTTAACGATGATTAACCACTTACAAAATGGGATGCACCAAGTAGCAATCCTGGTTTAGCTTTGGACGTGTTCTGTTGGAGTCCATTCTTTGGACATGTTCTGTGGTGGTTAAGCGCTGTGTTTGTGCCTACGGGATTTCTCTTAGGCACATCCGCGGTAAAAACGTTAAAATCGCAAAACGTATTTGTTGCCGTTTTCTCAGATATCTTGATGGTATTGTTTTGTTTTTTTTCAGAAAAAAAATGTAGAAAAGGAAAAACTTACCAATCTCTCAGAAAAAGCGGTCAAAATCGAAATGTTCTTTTTTCCTCATTGTATGAGATGTGGGAGGCAAGTGGAAGACAAGAATAAAATCATGCGGCCCAGGCATGCAACCCTTTGAAAGGAATAAGAACCCCATACAGGTAAACCTGTGTGGGGAAAAACACATGTCAACGTTCTTTATATGTTGAACCTTTTGCTTTGTAGGGTCGGGGGGGTAATGACAATTTTCTCCATATGTTGAACGGGTTGCTTTGTAGAGTCGGTGGGGGGTGTAAATTTGAAGAATGACTCAAGATGCGCATTTTCTTCATGTGTTCAACGTATTGAAGGAAGTGCATGTTAAACATTACTAATCATTACTCATTACTCAAAATGCTAAGTTGGTTCACATCTTGAACGTAGTGTTCTGTAGGGGACAGGGGGGTCAATTCATAACAATGACTCAACATGTCAACTTCGTTCATATGTTAAATGTATTGCTTTGCAGGGTTGAGGGGGGGTAAATGTGCAAAAATGACTCCACAAGTTAACTTTCTTCATATGTTGAGCCCGTTGCTTTAACAATGACTCAACATGTCAACTTTCTTCATTTTTTTTATTGTGTTGAACGGTAAAAATCGAAAATTTCTATATACCAACATCCGCAGTAAAAACGGTAAAAATCAAAAGTGTTCTTTTTGCCCTGGGGGTACGCTTGCGTATACGCTGGCCAAACACGGCCGCGAACCTGCCTAGAAAGGATCTTGTTTTTGATCTTCAAGAATACCCTCTGGTAATTTAACATAGCTATTGAAAATGGTGATTTATAGTGGATTTTCCCATTGAAAATGGTGATTTTCCATAGCTATGTTAGTTTACCAGAGGGTAAGTATAGGAAAAAAAAACATAATGACATAGACCCATTGCCATAGTTCCCCATTTGGGGGTTATGATTGGATACACCCCTAATTGGAATGATTTGTTCGATGACCTCCCAATTGGTTTCATTTAAACCCCATTCCTTGGAATACATCTAGCGGCTGGGTCATGATATCCACTGTGTCATAGCTATCACTGTTGGCGATTTCAACCAATACATCAGCCAGTTCAGATCATCATCCCAAATTGTAGCTGTCTAAATGAATCAAAACGTGTGAAGCCAACAGCCAGCATAGATGGAACGATTTATAGATAGACTAGATAGACATATATATATATCAGATGTATCATCCTATATATCATATACATATACATATATGGCAGTGTGTCAAAACCTTGTACCCCTGGTGAACATCAAAATAGCTGGTAAATGGGTGTTCATCCCACTAAAAATTGTATTAATAGGTATAAACATGGTATTAATAGGTATTGATCCATAGCCATATGCATATATATCAGATGTATCATCCTATATATCATACATATACATATACATATACATATACATATATATATATATACACGCAAGACCATAGATAGCTAGATCGTTTTATGTCACCTCCCTGGTTCCAGGTCGCAGATCAGACTCATCCGATGGACCAAGTCCTGGTTCATTCATGGTGCGGGTGTTTCATGTGTTTTAAATGAACCATTAAACCATCAAAAACTGTTCATGTTCATTTAATGGCGTGTTTTAAATGGCGTGTTTTAAATGGCGTGTTTTAAATGGCGTGTTTTAAATGGCGTGTTTTAAATGGCGTTTCATGTGTTTTTGAACAGTAAAATATCATTACAGACCATTTGAAAATAAGGAAAACATTGGAAAATTGGGCTGTTTGTGATGGTATCGAGGCGTTTTTTAGCAACCAAATAAAATAATGGCAACCCATAATGTCAACCAAGATGCCAATCCCCGAAATTGGTCCCCCCGCAAATGAGCAAACTGGGGGAGTATTCCTGGGTTTAACTAAAACCAGCTTTGCAACCCAGCATGTTTCAGGATTTCAATTGGGTTCCAGTGTTCCAAACGAGGCACGGTTTTGCAAACTCCGAGATTGAAACGCAACAGTCACTGCTGTTGAGAATTAATCGATTTTACCAAACAAGTTAGTCAAAACAGTGATTCTAAGAGGGAGAATGTCGATAACTGGATTGATTATCTTATGGAAGTGCTATAGAAAACCTGTGCCTTTACAGTTGAGGGTGTTAAACTAATTAAGGATTCATGTGGGGTTCCCTCCAAAATTGCATCCCAAAATCCCATGATCTATCACAGAAAAGCATAATTAACCTTGCTTTGGAACCCAACAGCAGCAAGGGTTGCAGGTTCCAATTTTCAGGGTTCCGTTCCGATTTTGCGTGCCATCCGCGCACCAGTCCAAGACCCAGAGATTGAAACCCAACAGTTTTCTGCTGTTGGGAATGTCTCCCAAGTGTAGAGGAACCCAGCAGCTTATTTGGAGGTTTCCCAAAATGATCCCCAAAACCATAGGTTTCCAATACTATAAGGCTCTAATGACTTGGGTGATGACTAGGGGATCCCTATGGAAAGCTCCATTTTGGGAAGCCTCGCCTCGTCGGTCACAGCCATGATCTCATCAATTTGGACCAAACCATCTCTTTGGATCCAAAGCCTGGCAAGCGATGAGCATTCTCCCAAGCATGTTGGGTCCCAAGAATCGGAAAATATCCATAAAAACAAAAAAAAACTGCTCCAGTGGATTTGAACCTCATTTTCCAGCCCTAAAATTGAATCGCAATTCACACTATACGGTATATACGGTATATACCATTTTTGGACAAACTAACTTGGCCATGGTCATGTGAAGGAAATTAAATTGTCAATTTCGGGGAAGGAAAGTTGAGCCACGGCCAAGTGAGTCAGCAAATGCATTCCGCCCTGAGTTTGAGCCTGGCCAAGTAATCGCCACTGACGCTCCCAATGACTAGGACAGAATTCCAAAATGGCATTTTTTTTGGTATGAAAGTATGGGTGTGGATCAAAATGTACAGCTTGTTCTCTGATCAAAATCTCTGACTCTAATTCCATGGGTCTTCGATTCCAATCCGATATAGCTTGAGTTGAGCAATGCTGATTTGGTATAAATTACCACAAAAACCCATCCGTGAGACGGGTTTGGTTCCTCCTGCAAAATCCTTGACCTCAGACACCAGCTGTAGAGCCTTTATCCCATTCGTTTGATAGCTATGCAAATTCTCCAAATATAGTCCACCCACCCAGCCCTCACAAGCCGTTTACTCATCCGAAGGCACATGGTTCCATCAGGACTTTGGCGCGTGGCATCGATGCACATCATCTCAAAGAGCTTTCGACCGCCCTCCACGCAATCCACGTTCCAGGCCTCGGCGCAGCGCTGAACTCGCGCTGGACTCGGAGTTCCCCACAGATTTTTTTTGGGAAGCCGAGGGACCAAAAAATGGTGCTGCAAGGGATGGTTGGGGTCGAAAGATACCCTCTGGTAATTTAACATAGCTATGGGAAATCACCATTTTTAATGGGAAAATCCACTATATATGGTCATTTTCAATAGCTATGTTAAATTACCAGAGGGTAAGTAGAAAGATACAACTTTGACATCGATTTTTTTGAAACCAGACAGGATCCTATTTCAAGCTAGTTTGGCTAGGCTCAGGCACCAGGCGGAGCGAAATCCGGCAGTTCGCCGCTCCCCACTGAGAAGCTAACCCCCACTAGCATCATATCTGATGTTAGGATTAAATATCAACTGGGTTGTAATATGTTATATAATTACATAGAATATGTATGAATATGTTGTAACCAAATGTTTTTGGAGGTTCAACCTGAGTTACCATGTTTCAACCACTTATAACCCAACATGTCCCGGTTTTCTCACCATGGACCATGGATCCAAACTTCTCTGCCATGGCTGCCAAGACTCTTGACCTTCCAGCACCAGGCGCTTTTTGTTCATGTCCGCCTGACAAGGTTCACAGATGTCGGACGGGGCTATTGCTCCAAACCAACGTGCAAAAATGGAGAGGGAACTCAGGTGGTCCCTTTCGTTTGTAATTGGAATGGTCATAGCGGGTTCAAAGGGACCCCTACTCATGCTCACATGAAATGACACTACGTCATATGGGTTTGTCTGAACATAGGGCCCAAAAAAAGTCGGTGGATCATCATCATCATCATCATCACCATCATCATCATCATCATCATCATTTTCCCTAGTACCACTTTTTTAAACGGCCATCGGACGGGGGCATACAAATTTTCAGACACACCCCTGCAGACAAAACAGATGCGCCTTCCGGTACCACTCCAGCATGCGCCGGAAGTGGTTTGCGGCCTCTTCGGCCGAACCATTGTTGCCCTGCAAAAACCTCAGGGTTCCATTGGGGAAAGAAGCAAGTGAGAATTCCAGAAGGCGTTTGATGGGCTGAAGTTTCTAAGATACAAATAACAATAATCATAACAATACTAAAAAGTAATAATGAGTGTGATAATAATAACAATATATACAATAACAATAATAACAATAATAATGATAACAATAATAATAATAATAGAAACGATCAAAATGATGATGATGATGATGATGATGATGATGATATATATATATATAACAATAATAAGGTTGGAACCCTGGAATATCAACAAGAAAATTGGAAAAACATCACAAACAGGTGGCAGAAAAGGATCAACAATGGGATGCAGCCCGTAAAATGTCAGTTTCAAGCCGATGCAATTAATGATGGACAGCTAACAATAGTAAGGATCGTGTCATTGGGGGCAAGGATAACAATCATGATGATCATCGAAGGAAGTTTAGAAGTCAAACTTCCGACAATATGGACAGATGAAAAGCAGAGCAGGGCAGAGGCAGAGAGAAGAGAAAGATTAGAAGAGAGAAGAGTAGAAGAGAAAGAGTCAGAAGAAAGAAGATACAGATGCGCGAAAAGGTAGGAAAGTCGCGAAACACTGTGTTTTTCCAATGATTTGGGCTCCGGAGGGTCGAAAAGTAGGCTCGCTAAAGCGGCGGGTGCGGAGCCAGCTGGCCAGATGAGAGATGAAAAAGCGCACGCCGTTGTGGCGCGAAGCACATTTCGAAGTCAAAATGTACAAAACACACCAGCGTCGGACCACTTTTGGAAGTTGAGATGTCGAAAAAGTGCACGCCGTTGTGGCGCGAAGCACATTTCCAAGTCAAAAATGTAAAAACACCTCTCCGGACCACTTTTGGAAGTTGAGATGTCGAAAAAGTGCACGCCGTTGTGGCGCGAAGCACATTTCCAAGTCAAATGCAAAACACAGGGGTTTCGGACCACTTTTGGAAGTTGCGATGTCGAAAAAGTGCACGCCGTTGTGGCGCGAAGCACATTTCCAAGTCAAAATTGTTAAAAAACCATGACGGTCTCGGACCACTTTTGGAGGTTCAGATGTCGAAAAAGTGTCGAAAAAGTGCACGCCGTTGTGGCGCGAAGCACATTTCGAAGTCAAAAGTGTAAAAAACTGAGGGTTTTGAGCCTTTTTTGACGTGAAGATGTCGAAAAAGTAGACACTGATTAACTTAACTAACTTGACTAACTTAACTAACTTCACTAACTTAACTACCCTAACTTCGACGACAACAGCAACAGCAACAACAACAACACAACCACAACAACCCACCAACCCAACCCAACACCAACACCAACACCAACACCAACACAACACCAACACCACAACAACTACAACAACAACACACAACAACTACAACACTACCAACACACAACTACAACTATAAACTACAACTACAACAACTACAACAACTACACAACAACAACAACTACAACAACAACAACAGAAACAACACCACGACGACAACCAACCAACAACAACAACCAACAACAACACTACTACTACTACTACTACTAACTGCTACAACGACACTACACAGCAACTACAACCACACAACAACTACAGCTACAACGACAACAACAACAACAACTACTAACAACTACAACTACAACTACTAAAACAACTACAGCTACAACTATATGACTGCAACTACACTACACTAATTACATTACACCACAACTACAACTCCACTACGCTACAACTACAACTACAGTTGCAGTACATCACACTACATCCAGCAGTTGTGGGTGAGGTGACCACTGCAACCATTGCAACCATTCCAGCAAACACAACTCCAACCACCTTTCGGTCAATCAGTGGATTCGCTCTGCCATCCGTGATTCACAACAACCAACGTCTCCTATAGGTTTCCTATTCTGAAACTTCCGCCACCGCCTTGTGCGGTACTACTGGTAGGTCACCAGTATCTGTCTTTGATTTGGCAGAATTCTATCTGCTGATGCAAGGATAAATTCCACTATTCGGGTGATTGGTACGGGCAGCACCGTGTCGTTCATCAGGAAATCGGGCGTATTCCATACATTGCCATACATTGCCATACATTGGGTGGAAAGTCCCCCTACTTCGGGTTATTCAATTATCCATAGGAGACACTCGAACCGAACCAGCATGGTTTCTGCTGGGATAAATATATATATATATAAATTATATAACCGTGAATATATATATATATATATACACACGTATACATATTTTTTTCTGCGTGTCAGTCTTTGACAATTTCACATTTCGGGGATCAGGATCACCTAGGCCCAGACTTTGTACACCCCTGTGGTGGGTCTCCCGTACTGAAGCGCATCAGAGTTTTGTTTTCGGTTTTGTTTCGTTGTGGTTGTTGATGATGTGGTTTGCATATGCATATGCATACATGTGTATATATATATCATATATACACACATGTATGCATATGTATATATACATATATATATATATACGTATGTATATACCTGTTTCTGTTTCTTTAAACTGTTATTCAACCCCTGTGAAAGTCTGCATAGTATCACCCATCAAATCTGTGACAAACCGAGACCCGGCACCGGGTCAAGCGCGCGGTCTCAAACAAGTGAAGCCCATCCTCTTGGAGTTCCTGTCGTTCAGCCTCGGAGCTCAACGTCGGGAAATCCCCATGGTTTTTTTCCAGTGAAAAATAGGGAAACCATGGGAAAAGCCCCATCGTGAAATTGAAAAACCATGAAAAACCATGGGAAAAATGGAAAAATTATCGGATGTCTTGAAATTGCTGTTCCCTTCTGATTCTGACATTGGGTATGGATTTCTTGATGTCCTATCCACGAACAACCAACAATGTCGATGTTTCACGACCCAAATCGAAATGGGTCAAGCTTAGATACCCAAAAACCATAGGATGTGCATTGTTTGCTTGCAAAGAAAATGGGATGTTTTATATATTGTCAAATTCTGTATTCTCGATACTATATAATTATGCATATATATATATACATACTCACAATTAAGTGTATGTGCCTGTGTATATGTACTGTATATATATATACATACAGACATGGTATATATCATATATGATATATATATATTATATTATAAATCATATATGATACATGATATGACTGCGGAATCTAATATGTCCACACATCCTGTACACCAAAACATGCCCTTGACATGACATAATTTTCAGCTTGACCTGGAGTTCTGCGAGAAGTCGTTGTCTGCAGCTGCAAGCTTGAGGGTTCTGAAGGTCATCCAGAAATTCCACCATTCAAACGGGCGAGGTGGACGAGGGGGCCAGATTTGACCCAGTCTGGAGCTGATTTTGGCGAATCTTGGAATTTGAATTGGGTGTTTGGCAAACAAGCATGGTTCAGTATGTTCAGAACCTGACACCTGGAAGACGAGTTGTTGAGGGAAAATGCAATGAAAATGCGGCTTCCAGGTTGAATCAGGTTGAGTCGCAAATACTCATGAGGCAGGTGCTGTGAGGCCAAAAACTTCAGCCATCTTAGGCTCTTTCACTAATCCACTCCTAAGCCAAGTCTACAGATTCTGAGTTTACAATCTTCCAAGGCTTAGATTCAAACCTGCCCATCATGTGGCTGCTCTTCATTTGAGCTGCAAGCTGCAAAGCCATGGTCGAATGCGGCGTGAATCTGGGTCGACCCTTTTGACTCTCGCCGCTATGGACCTGGATAAACACACCATCTACGATGGGAAACAAGTTCCAAACCCACCCATCATGCTTTCCCGCTTTCCCTTTGCCAGGCAATGGCCGGTGCCCCAACCTCCTCTTTTCGGCGAAGCCACCAGCTACCAGCAATCTGGATCGGACGGAGGTTTCACAATTTTTCAAGCAGGAGCGGTGTCAAACAGAGCTACAAATCCGCCCAGCTGGCCTCCAGATCAACCTGAGATTCTAGCAGCCCTACCGGGCCCTACCGGGCCCTACCAAGTCGTCTTCATCTGACCCCAAAAACTCCCCGACGGAGCAGCGGAGCAGCTGGGCCGATCTGACACCGCTCAATTGTGCGAGTCGGATGGACCGAGTTGGCATGGGCTGGGAAAAAAAAAACCTGCCATCATGACCATGAGACCATGATCACATGGAGATGTATGTAGACATGTAGATCAAAAACAAAGAAATAGATAGAAATAGGAATGAAATAGGTGCTTAACCCACAACTTCGATGCAGCAACCGGTGATATTTGCTTGCTGGATCACGGTGAATCATCATGGGTCTACCTTTGGTAGCACCACAAGCCACCCTGCGGGTGTTCCTGAGCAAGCTCCTGATTCGCGGATCCGATCAGTCTAGCGGATTGACCTCCAAAACTTACAAAAACATAAAACCACATCCAAAAATGCTATAAAATTGTATTCAAAAAAAAGTCATTGAAGCCCTGAAGTTTCTCACCGAGAATTGCAGGAATCCGCCTAAGCAGCCGAATGGTACCATGGTACCCTGTCTCACTCTTCACATTCATCAGGGGGATCAACTGGGTCAAGTCGCAGAGACGTGTCCTGTGGCAGGTGGTTGAAAGCGCCACCTTTGAGCCTATCTACGCCTGGAAGAGGCGTGGGCAAACATCAAACATCCACCTTGCAAAGAAGTTCCCCTTATGAATACCATCGCCAAACCTCAAGAAAGAAACTTGTCTTAGTCTTAATGTCAACCCTGGATTAATAAACCCATGGGCTGTTTAATTGGGAAGGTACCATTTAAGTATTAGATTATGACTATTGGAGGAGTATCCCCCTAATTAATAAACCATGGTTTATTAATCCGGGGTTGACATTATAACCTTTGCACTCAAATGTCCCAAGGGCTTGCGATGGCTACAACCTTTGGATGCTTTGTCCCAAAAAGCAGAGAACCCTTCCCTGCGTCCAGACCAATCGATTGTATCCTCACACCGAATTTCTGCCATGCCAGCAACATCTGCGGCTCCTGAGCCCAACAAGTTTCGTTGATTTCGGGAAACTCTTCTTTTTTCGCTCCAGCTTCTTCAGCTTCAGCTTCTTCATCCCTTTCCCCCTCCAAGATCTCGCATTCTTCTTCTTCTTCCTGTGCAAAAAAATGGAAGAACTGATGCCCTGGAGATGGAAAAGGACAGGGTGGCGACGCAGCAAGTGTACAACAAAGAAACCGACGAGCACTTTGATGATGGGATGAAAGTTGAAGCAACATCTGTGCCTGCAACTTCTTTTGGATCTTCCCCTGGAACTGGTTCATGTCATAGATGCAAGGGGCTACAGGTCGACCGAACACGTCCACCTGCTTATGGAACCTCAAAAGCCCAAGTGGCCTCCAGACAAAATCAGTAGTGTCACAGCTCTCTTGGGAACCCCCAATGCAACACAAAGTGCTGTCGCCACTTCACATTGACACCAAATGGACCACCAAAAAACTGCACGAATCGATCCGAAATGATCAAGAAGCTAAGGATTGAGAAAGCCAGCGGTTTCGGAACACCCTTTATGTTCCTGAACAAAAAGAACATTGGGCACACTGAATGCGTTCTGCCCGACACCATTCTTCATAATTTCTCATAGCAGCGTGGATCGTGGGACTCTACGGCGGTTGAACTCGTAGAAGGGCAAAAAATCCAAGATGCAACCTTTGCGAGGACGGGATAAACCCGTTTTGCCATAAACCTTCCATTTGGGGATGGTTGGAATCCCACCCATCTATGGTAATATACGAGGGATGGCTTGCTTTTTTTGGGTATATATACCACTGTATATCTGTATCCAATCACAAATCGACGGAACCAACAATTACGAGGGGTATCAAAAAAGAATATAACCAGGCACAAGCGGTCTGTTACCGACAGTGTGTCAGGCTGCTATGCTTCAGCCTTTGGGTTCACGCCAAGCGGCAAACAACTCCCCGTCCAAGTGACTTCCTGAAGGCACAAAGCCGAGGAAGTCCAACTGAGTGGATCCATGAAAATGGCTTGCAAACATGCATGGCTACAAACCACTTTTCAGAGCTCAGAGATGATCCAAGTACCAGATGGCCAGTTGCAGCTATAGGTATATCACCAGCAAAACTGAGAGAATCCCACCTGCCAATCATGGGAGTATGGCTAACATTGGCTAACCAACCATGTTGGCAATGTGCTGCTAAAAGTTACGGCTGACATCCTTGGGTTTATAGGTTGGATCCCAAACTTCAGGTTCTCAAATTCTGATTCTAACTCTGGCCACTTCGACATCCAGCTTAAGCGACTCAAGTTTTTCTATCCAGGGTCCAGCACGGCACCCCTTGATCAAGTGAGATACCGCTGATTTTTGTAGTAATAGTACCCTCTGGATATTAAATGTAGCTGTGGAAAATCACAATTTTACTTTCATCCATAAATATACATTGGCTATTTTCCATAGCTACTATATGTCAAATAATCCGAGTGTAACGTTCCCAACTGACCTTTCGACCCCGACCCATCCCACAGACCGTCCTAAAAGCCGAGTCCAGAGCGTGGGCTGCGCGACAGTAGTTGGGAGGGAAGCTCTTGGGCCAAGTGAAGACCAAGGAGCCTTTCTTCACCTTGGTCGATGGAAAAATCATGAGGGAAAAACCATGGTGTACCACCCACGGGAATGGTTATAGCATGTTATAGCACCTTTATGGTGATGATTGGGGGATGGTGCAAACGGCATTGCACCAAACCCACACTGAGAATGGGATAACCCAACAATCTGATATGGCTTCGTCACATGGGTGAAGACCCAGAGTAGCCATTGGATGGAATGGGGTGCCCCGTTTTTTGGACAAACCCACTTTGGAGCCAATCACTTCCAGCACTCGGGATTGCAGCAAACCCACTAGGATAAGCTACTCAATCACATGGCAACGTTGTAAATCTACATTACAATATTTATATGTATATATATATATTGTGTATATACATAATTATGTATATTATATATATATACGATGCAATGATTCTATTGGCTTGTTCATCCCAGCCAGTTTTCGAGCCAGTGACAATGCCATACCACTCTTTGACCTCCTTCTCACCTTCAATTCGGCTCTTCAGAATCTGCGACGCTATGCCGCTATGCACTGCAGAGATGCAATCTCAGTGATGTGGGCCACTGATTTCTTCTCAGTGATACCGTACTTACGGAGGAAGACATCTAAGTGTGGACCCTCTGGTGGACATGGACTAGTCTAGCTCGACTCAACCGCCCCAACTGGCCAATCAGACCCTCACACCATGAGTTTTAAAAATCCAACTTCTGAACGCAGCATGGCTCAAGAACCGGATGGCACCAAAGTTTAAGTTGGACCCAGAATCCATATGGGCCATATCTGAGCCATATCCCTTTCATGTAGATAGTTACACTATGCCCAAAAAACTTCGAGGACCTTGGCTAACGGCACCACGGCCTCCGATTTGTTCATGCGCAGAACATGGCTGTTGTCTTCAAACAAGGTGTAGCCCTGCAGGTTTGTCCTCTGCAACTGCCTGCGCTGACAATGGCTCCTCCAATATCTATGTGGGGTTGACATGATCAGCTGAGGTTTACTTTCCGCAACCACCAGCTGGATCACCCACAGGAAATGATGGAATTTTGGGAAACTCTGCCACCACTCTTCCAAATCTGTCCATTGCTTGCAACTCAGGCGGCTTGGCTTCGGATGACATTAAAAGTATGGCCCACCAACCACCATCCGATTGCTTACCATGAGAGTTTCGTGGTGCCCTAGCACCTTATCTCAAGGAGAGCCAATAGTAGGTGTCTGGAAACAGTCGGGAGCCAACTATATAGCTGCTTCCTTCCATCAAGAAAAAAAGCGGTCAATCAAACTCTCCCCCGAAGTCATCCTAAACCCCTCGCGGTAACTCACCTCACATTGCCAGCTTCCTCTTGCTCCTGCCCGAGCCGTTGTAGCACTGGGATTTCATGGGGCCCGGCCGAGATCCGGGACCCGAAGGATCAAATCTTGGGGCTCAGATCACTAAAAGAATCAAGAATCCAATCAAAAATTGCACATGCTTTTGACAAAGGAATCCGCAACAAGCGGAGCTTTGAAGACAAGGAACAAATACAATAAATACATAATGCGAACATATGCGAACTAAGGTAGTCTCGAATATATCAACATGTGGACGTTTGAGCCAAAATGAATATCTGAGAGTCAAGTCCCTGTTTGCCATAGTATCATTGCTTAGTATCACCTAGATTCACAAGTCCCGTAAGGCCTTGCAAGCGCATGCAAAGATTAGATCAAATTGTCATGATCATTTTAAAAGAAAAAAAAGTTAACAGGGTAATCGCTTTTCGATCTTTTTTGTGACCCCTGCTGCCACGCAAAAAATGCATCCCCCCGGCCTTCGGACTTTCAACCCATGGCATACAACAAAGTGAGGCAAACGTTGTTTAGAACACAAGAATCAACCAGCCGCAACAAAAACTGCATCGATTTAATCGATTTCCAAAAAAAACACATGAGGTTGGCTGAAAATAGTGGTTCATAGCCATTTTCCCTATTAACTTGGCTGTGGGTAGCCCATTCCACCCTTGGTTCATCGCTCCTGAATCAGCTGCTGTTGCAGCTCTTCGTTGAGGTCCTTCTGAAGACCTCGAGGCACGAGGGATCTGAATCGAAGCATCCACATCCGGTGATCTTTCAAATCCCCTATCCCCTATATAGATCTATATAGATGAGACATGCATCAACAGCCTGTCACCAAAAATAGGGAAAGATGGGGAAAGATGGGGAGGGTGAGCTTCTCAATCCTCCCCATGTCATCCCATGTCCGGTCTGCAGAGTTCACGGCAAAACCGCAACGGCAAAACCAGGTGCGGCACCTTGATCTAAATCCTCAAGGAGCTTCACCCATCCTGGAGACATCAGCGCGCCAGCTTTCATCAAAACCATCGCACTGGCCATGTCGATGGCACCATAACCTCAACAGCAGGCGGAGGATGGGGATCGGGATTTGGTGCCTGGGGTTGGATGGAAATGATTTCGGAAATGATCTATTTCCAGCCAGATAGACAGACAGACAGACAGCCAGCCAGCCAGGCAGACAGACAGATAGATCGAGAAAGATAGATCGATAGATAGATAGATAGATTGATAGATAGATAGATAGCTAGCTAGGTAGATAGATAGATAGATAGATAGACAAAAGGATGGATGGATAGATTGATCGATTGATAGGTTGATAGATTGATTGATTGCTAGATTGATAGATTGGTAGGTTGGTAGATTGATAGAAAAATTGATAGATTGATAGATTCATTCATTCATGAATCGATCGATTGACTGATTGAGAGATGGGATCTACCAGAAGTGCGAATAACTGGCAGAGTCAGATTCCCGTGATTTGACGCAGCTTGGCTCCAGGTGGCTCTTGCATTGCATGAACGTCAGCGCGCTGAGCCAAACATCACCACCTTCCTCATAGTGCTCGAAGAAGACGTCTTCCAGGTCCTTTTTTCGAAGCGCGCATGCCCCAATCATCAGAAAAATCCGCCATGGAAATTTCATGAAATCAAAAAAACATGGAAATATTTGGAACATTATGGAACTGTGCAAAGTTTGCAAAAAACTGCCGAACTTTACGGTAGTTCTATGAAGGAACCACATATTTGGCCAATTGATCTCCATGACATCCGGCAATGCTAAGGTCCAAACCTCGAAAAATTGGGGGTGGCCCTTTACTGTGGAGGATCCATGCCTCTGCCAATGAAAATAGCTAGTCGTCCTAAATTTTTGTCGGCATTCGATGGCTTTCGGGCCTCCAGTTCACATAGGATCGGGCCTCAAAATTTGGACCCGGGCATTGCAAGCTGCCTATTCAATGGCCACGAGGTATCCCCCACATTCTTATGGAATCCCAATGTTTGATGTTTAAGTCCCTAATTTTCCTTGCTTAAAACAATATGTTTGAGACACCTGCCCTATCTTTCTGACCCCAGGTACCACTCTGGGATCGTTGGCCAACACTTCCACAATCTCCCGGCGCGGAGCCACCAAAACTTAGATGCTCACAGGCAAGGTTCGTCCCACTTTCTCAAAACTGTTTGAACTGTAGTAACCTCCAAAAGATAGAACAGCGAAATCCTACTAAAATAGTGATAATTTACTGTCCTATACTGGATGTTAAAGGGAAAATCTCCAACATGGCCAATGATTGGATGGTGAAAACCATGGTCTTTCCTGGTGTTTCGTGCAAAAAAGGTCCCTTCGATCAAGCGAGCACCATAAAATGGAATGGCCAACCTGCCATTTGTGGATTTGGGTCTGGTTCATGCTGACTCAAATCCACATGTTCCATGACATCAAACAATGCCAAGCAACGACTGTCACCTTCTAGTAGGTGGTCGCAGCAGCCTCCGAAAAACAAGAGAACTGGGTATTGGTCAAAATGCTTGGCACCAGATTTTGCCAGCAAATGATTTATTATAAATGATTAAAGTGTATCTGACCGCAGAATCCAGTAAATCTGACTCAGTTGACCGGGTTCAATATGTTCAATTTGGTCGCAAACTTTCGACCTCAAGGACCCTTCGAGCATCCCAAAGCTGTGAAATCCAGAGCTGGCACCAGTCATCCCTTTGAGATCCTTTGAGCGCCTGTGTCCAAGTCTGCTAATAGCGCCATTCCCAGTGCTGTTGCTCGCACGTGAGAGCCATGCCATCCGTAGCTGTAAGCGCCGACATTGGGATCCTGAGATCCATAGGAGGCTTTGGAAAACTGAGCCACTGAGCCTGTGAGGACTATAATTTTGGTTCACCATAGATTATTGTATAAAAACGACAAAAACCATACAAAAACATCATCTTTCTAGATATCAGCGCTTTCAAACATGATCACAAAAGAACCTTTTTTGAGAAATCTTTGGGCGACAAGTTGCAATGTCGGGTCGCGCCAAAATCATCTTGAAGATTTCGAGGTCATCGTAGGGGAGCCAAACCTGGAACCACAGCCACAGCCAGGAAAAAAGTATGAAAAATATGATTCTTGGAAGGCCAACACACCCTGGGATATGTTGGAAAAAAACAGGTGTCCCTGTGTCCCTACCGGTCCCTACGTATTCCGGGTAGGGCATTTCCTGGACAGGACACTGTCTTCCCATCCATAACGATGTGTTGTCTCTCCAGCAAGATCTCGGACCACCTCGGCGGTGCCGTTCCAATCACCGTTCCAGTGCTACTCAGTTGGTCGCGTGACTTTTGGTTGGGTGAGTTTCAAGGATTTTTTTTCTGTCTGGGAATAGGGAAACTGGCAGTGATTACTCACTTGCAATTTTCACCGCCATCTCTGGGTTTAATTCTGGTGCAAATGATTACCAAATCCCATCATCAGTGCCAATTATGACAAAAGTCTGCGGGCACTGGGGGCCCATCTCTGAGCAGGTTCAACATAGGGTACCCCATGGTACCCCTAAATCCGATCAGGAGGTATATGTTCCTTCCCCAAACAGTGTGTTCACATCTGGAAGCATTGCGATTGTTCTGGCTGGGCTGATCCAGGGGTCCTTTTTTTGGTGACCACTGTAGCACAAAAGTTCATAATTCGTCCGTTTCCAAAGAAAGTCTCACACAAAACGTGTCCCTGGAGACCTCTCTTGCAAAGGTGTGTTATCGCGTGGGTGCTGTGTCCTTTTTGAACTGTGTGGCGGTCGTAAGAGATTTGGCGCTCTTAGGGTCAGAACCGCATGTGCTTGACTTCGGGTTTTTTTCATCAAGGTGGCAGGCACAGTGCTTTGCGCGCTTGGCTAAAAGTTGACAGGCAAGGGTCGACATGACAAGTGCCTTTGGCAAGTGCACTGCTTCGGATGCCTCAGCTTCATTTTTTGGTGTTATATGCAGTAGTGTTGTTCGGGACGCCGGAAATTTCACTCTCGTTGTGGCCCAGTGCCCACCCTGATATCGCTCGCGCAACCCTCTCCCTCATTAATTACCTTGTACGTGCTGTCAGATGCTGATCAAATCCTCTCAAATGTCCTTCTACGAAGATCTTGACGATATCGTGTTAGAGGTCCTCGTTTAAAAGCCCTTATGGTACGCTCTTTGGAGGTTCTTGCAAAAAGATCTTGTAACTCTTCCCGGAACAATCAGACACATCCATATCACCAGCTTGTATCCAACACACTATATCCTCATAATATCATTAAATCCCAATCCCCATGGACATCCCCATTATATCCGCACCTCCGCTGCCAGCATTTCCACATGGATAGGACCAGTAGACTCGCCGTCTTGGAGTCCCCATCAATGGCGTCTTCGTTCAGATTGGCCTGGCATCGCCTTTGGGATAGACCCATACGTTTGATGGTCAGACCATGCTATGTGGCTAAGGGCATCCATAGCAGGAATCCCATAGACTGGGTGTATAAATCCATCTCCAGGGATTGGTGACGTCTGAAAATGAAAACCCGTGCGTTTGGATAAACCAAAAAAAAACGTATAGTCTAATATAAACCCATTGTCAGTTGTACATCCCATATCATCCCATTATATCCTCATGCCTGTTGGTTTTAGGTCAATCCCAATGAAATCCCCCAGAAAGCCTGAAAATCTCACGTCACGTCCCCTGCCTTGTCTAAGGCACTGCTGAGTGCCACCTTGTCGCGCGTGGCAATCGCCTTCACTAAATCCAGATGCGCGGGCCAACGGGGCCAGTAGTCTTCCACCTGACACCAGGGAGGTGAGGGCTAACATGGTAAGGATACCATTGTAAGGTGGGAAAAATGCTAGGAAAACATGGGCATATGACCGATTACCCATGTTTGGGATGGGAAAACACCAACCGAGGTATCAAAATGGGGGATACCGACAAGAAGAGGAATGACAATTCCGAGGCTGCTGCTCTTCAGTTGAACCAATGGGATGGAAGGCGGCTCGGGACCTCCGATTCTGTGCAAATCAGTAAATCAACTCATAGACCGCCTAAATCTTCATCACTTTCCCAACATCAAATGGCCATTTTATGGGTATACCCGGAAAAAATAAACTTCTCAAACAGACCAATATGTGGCTTTCTAAAATGGAGGATACATGAGGATACCCACAAATCATTCATTTTCATAGGATTTTCGAGTGTAAACATGTATAAACTAGTATAAACCATCCAGCTGTTGGGGATTTTATGGAAGCCTCCCAGACCTGGCGACCTGGCGGTGCAACTTCAGGAATTCCTCCACCTCCTCAGGCTCCAAGAAGCCGACGGGATCTGCACCCAACCGCAGCCATTCGCCCATGCTGTGCAGCATGGTGCCGTCGAAGCTATCAAAGAGTACCTACATAAGGCGAATCACAAAAGTGGGCTCCAAAAATGAAAGATCTGACCCAGCAATGATGGTTTTAAGCGCGGGTTTGATACCCAATTTCTGGCCATAAGAAGTGAAGAAGTGATAATTCACCATCAACTTTGTCCACAAATTAAAAATGGTGATATATAGCCGTACTGATCATTGAATTGTATGGGGGGTGTCAAACACCCTTTTCCGGGATGGAGTGTACTGTATCCGGAATTGTCCCTCAACCGGAGTAACCATGAGGGCTTGGGGGACCCAAAAAAATCGGGGATTTTTTTGCCGACTCCCAAGGGATGGCAGCTTGGACAACATCCCACCCATACTTGGCCAATAGCAACGGCCATGTGCAATTCGTTTTAACCATCAAAATAAGCAGTATCCCCAACAAGCAACCAAGTGTCTGCATCGAAACAAGGTATATAGATGCCCAAGCCGCAGCATCTCTCGCCATGCCGAGCTTGTTGTCTAGAGGATAGATCAACAGGAACAATGGGTTTTGTTTCCAAATTGGGGGATAGCCAAAAATGTTTGTTTCCCTTCAAGTGATGAGAAACTTGAGATTTGAGGGGTCCAAATTTTGTGACAGCCCCAAAACTAGAGTTATAGGACCCTCCAGGTGGAGGTGTCGGTGGTCATTCCTTCCAATGTCTGGATCCAGGGGATCCAGGGAGTCAAGCCATTGTACCGAGCCACTTTACAACGACCCTCATCGTTCTTCTCCTTGAGCCGCTCGACAATCGCTTCCTAAGAGGCAACGTTTGACACCCAGGCTGGCTGTGGATCGAACCCATCTCCTGATCCCATCTGATCCCACTACATTTGGCAGGTGCTGATATGGATGGATATGGATCATCTGGTTCAATCTGGTTCATCAAAAACACCCAAGGTTTGAGCACGTACTGCCTCGATGCCCAATTGCTGCAGTTTTATAGAATTTTGGGATCGGAATTCCGCTCCATTCATCTTTTTATGGGGAAGCAAGCACCTCATTCGCAGCCCCAGCGGCTTTGGCTCGGGGAAGCACCTCCTTGTGCCAAAACTCCATGGCCCAGGATTGCTGGTAAGATTCAACGTAGGGCGGATAGAATTCCATCAGCACTTCCTTTTCGGCAGAAACTATGGACGGGCGACTGATGAAAATTGGGCTCTCGATTTCGCAGGTGTTTTCTTGTTCAATGAATGAAACAAATTTGTTTAAGAACTTTGGCAAAACGAAAGCTGAGGGATCCTTGACATTACATCATTCAAGCCCCCCTCAACTCCCCAAACTTCCCCGAAATGACTGCAGTGTTTGAGGCTGGCCTTTGCGCCCGCTACACTTGCATAAATTGAAGTACTTTTGCGAAGATGAGCAGCCGGCCCGATCAATCCACCTGTTTCTTAAATTTGTTGCATATAAATCCATAGATACTTGGGATCTTTTGGGCATAAGCAAATTTGATTTTTTGTTGGAAATCCGAAATCTTCTGCCAAGGCACAAGGTAGCTGCCGTTGCTGAAGGTCTGAACCTCCGGCAAAGATTCCAGCAGAGCATAGGCAAAGTCGGGAATTCCGCTCACCTGTCCGACGCCACAAATCCCATGGGATCCACTGATTCCATAGGCTGAGCTCCCTCCCAGTCCCCCGACCTGCAGCCCGCTGATCAGGATGATTTCTGGATCGTCTTTGCCGATAGTCTCGACCAATAAATCAATAGCTTTCAAATAGGACCTCCACTGAGTCCAGATGAGAACGTCTCAAACCCATGCGTGAAAGCAAGTCACAAACACCCATAGATAGATAGATAGATAGATAGATAGAAAGATAGATAGATAGATAGATAGAAAGATAGATAGATAGATAGATAGAAAAATAGATAGAAAAATAGATAGAAAAATAGATAGAAAAATAGATAGAAAAATAGATAGAAAAATAGATAGAAAAATAGATAGAAAAATAGATAGAAAAATAGATAGAAGAATAGATAGAAAAATAGATAGAAAAATAGATAGAAAAATAGATAGAAAAATAGATAGAAAAATAGATAGAAAAATAGATAGAAAAATAGATAGAAAAATAGATAGATAGACTATGATAGACAGATAGATAGATAGATAGACAGATAGGTAGATAGATAGATAGATAGATAGGTAATTCAATGAAAGAGAGAGAGAGAGAGATAGATCGATAGATCGATAGATCGATAGATCGATAGATAGATAGACTATAATGCGTATATACACTGTAGGTATGTCCGTGGGTTTTTGAGCATATACATGTATGTATGTATGTATGTATGTACGTACACATATGTATACTATGTATACATATGTATACATATGTATACATATGTATACATATGTATACATATGTATAATGCGGGCTACCCTGGGTAAAATCACTAGGGTGACCCCCCAAAATAATTTCTGGGATTTATTCTGAGGTGCTTCTAGTACATAGCCCACTACAAAATATTTTTTCCAAAACACTCTAACCACCCCAAAATAATATCCTTTATCACTACCCACCTCCTCAAAATAATTTCTGAAAATTTGCAAATAAATTATTTTGTAGGGTTCTACTATTACCCAAAAACACTTCCCTTAGTTCAAAATAATTTTGGAAATTATTTCAAGGTGGTTTAAGATGGTTTTGGATGATTGAAAAAACAAGTAGAACCACCTCAAAATAATTAGCAAAAATCCCCACAAAATTATTTTGGGGGGTCACCCTACCTATCCTCCCGAATGCACCCGACAAGCATTGTCGGAATTTCATGATTTAGACCATCGATTTTTGGACAAAGAAATCTGAATCGACCCCTTCCTGCCCCATAAATTATTTTGGGGGTGGTTAACTACTAAACCACCCCAGAAATAATAATAGCCTAAACTGGCAAAATTAACTTCCCATTGAGTAGTTCAAAATCCAAATTGCCTCGAACAGACAAACCCTGAGATTTACCATGAATTACTGGCTGAACTAATTATTTTTTAGAACATCGACTTAGCATCGGCTTTTGGGCAAAGAAACCTGAATCGATTCCTCTCTCCCCAAAAATTATTTTGGGGGCAGTTAACTACTAGACCACCCCAGAAATCCAAAATAACCTAACCTTGCAAAACTCAACTTCCCTGGAATAGGTCAAAAATGCCAAACCTGATCCAAATTGACCCAAACTGTCTGAAAGAATCAAACCATGAGAACCTAATTATTTTGGGGGTGGTTAACTACTAAACCACCTATGATTTAGACCATCGATTTTTGGACAAAGAAATCTGAATCGACCCCTTCCTACCCCATAAATTATTTTGGGGGTGGTTAACTACTAAACCACCCCAGAAATAATAATAGCCTAAACTGGCAAAATTAACTTCCCATTGAGTAGTTCAAAATCCAAATTGCCTCGAACAGACAAACCTTGAGATTTACCATGAATTACTGGCTGAACTAATTATTTTTTAGAACATCGACTTAGCATCGGCTTTTGGGCAAAGAAACCTGAATCGATTCCTCTCTCCCCAAAAATTATTTTGGGGGTGGTTAACTACTAGACCACCCCAGAAATCCAAAAAAACCTAACCTTGCAAAACTCAACTTCCCTGGGATGTGTTGGGATTGACGGGATGTGGCTTGAATGAAGTTGGAAATGGCTGCAGATTGATTCAAAGAATATCCTGACTGAACATGTTGAAATATGTAGTTGAAATTTGATGTAATATGCTGAAATTATTTTGCAGGTGGTTTGCAAGTACCCCCACCCCATGAAATAATTTTCATCATGGGTGTCTGGTAATTATTTTATACAGTTGGAACTATATGAAATAATTTCCCCAGTTCAACTGAGAAATTATTTTGAGGTGCCTTAAGTTGCTTGTTTAAAATTATTTCAAGGTGCTTCAACCTCTGTAGGTGGAAAATTATTTTGCACCATCATCAAGGTACGGGTGCAAAAATTATTTTGCTATGGCTCTTGTCGGGTGATTTTAACATAAAATTTATGTTAAAAATTGGAAATTATTTTTAAAAAAATATTTTGGAACCAACCCCCACCTCAAAATAATTTCCTAAGGTAGGACGCATTATGTATACATATGTATACATATGCATATGTATACAAATGTATAAACTTAGAATGCATCAGTTGGTAGGGCTCCCAGAATCTCCAAATACCGAAGTCTCGAAAATGGGCTAAACTCCTGTGACAAAGAAATGTTCATCCCAACAAAACCTGCCAATGAAAGTCTGTTTGATCCAAGCTACGTCTTGGACCTGGGACTTCGACCCTGGCAGGCACGCAAAGCATCCCTCCAAATGCTCCTCTTCTGATCATTCTGATCCTCCTCAGACTCAGCAATCTGCTCTTGAACCCATTTTCGCACTGCTTCTTGCACCTCTTCCTGCGACTTGACTTGAGTGATTTTTTTTGGTTCGTGTTGATTGGAAAGACTAACGAAGTAGAAAGACTTATAATGACGGAAATGTGCCCAAAAGAATTTATTTCATATCCGGACAGGTCTTCTCTTCTGTTCATATTTGTGACTTACAAGGTAATGTTGGGAACGATGCAGTCAGAATACCTGCAACTGGTTTGGGGGAAGATTCCCAAAAAGTTGTCAGAATCGAGGATGATAAGTGCTGTTGGAGCTTCATCTCTTCATCTACACAATCAAAAATATTAAGGGTGTTGGATTATATATTATATACATATATATATATATACATACGGGATTCGTAGCCACATGTTTGGGGCATACACGATATTGTTGTGGCTCATTCTGGTTCCAAGGTTTTGACCCATATCTGTGTCTCCTCTTGGAATCAACTGCCCGCAGCCATCAACTACACAAAAAAAAAACGGCTGTCCTTTGGAAGCTTTCCGCGCATGAAGCGAGTGAAACTTGCGTCGGGGAAACAACCTTCATAATCTTCCCCTTCAAGCTCCTCTTCCTGCGCACATTGGACAGACCGGGATGTGGACCACAGGGATGGTTTCAACAAGCACTAAAATGGAACTGGAGGTCTTTTTTTGTGACCAAGTTGACCATGGGGCATTTTCAAAAGAATCTGATTCTGACAGAGCAACAACCAACCCTTAACACTTAAGGAAAAACTCCAGGGAGGAGAAGGCTGTGATCTATTCATACTTGTTGCGGATTTGTAGATACCAGTCCCTACTTACTACGAAAACCAACAAATGAAGCAGTGCTTTTGACACCAAAATCCACCCCGACTCAGGAACAAACTCCAGAGTACAGTGCAGGTTTTCTATCTGTAGGAATCCGGTGATAGAAATTTGCCACAAACCCCCAAAAAATGCAACCTGCATGTCAATCCTCGCCAATCCAATCCTGACTCAAGATGAACCATGTCCTCCAACGAATTAGAACAAAGCATGTTAGAGTGTTAGAGTTTACATGTTTTAGGAGTGGAATTCGGGTGCTGACAACAGATCAACCAGGAATCCGCTGAAATCCGGATTGAACCAGCCAGAACAAACATGGATCTTCCCACCATTCCATGGTCACCCGAGCACTGAAACCACTGAATTCTGGATACGGACAAATTTGGCTCTTCGCCCAAAAATACCTTGGAGATCAGGAAAATTCCAATGGTTTTTCATAGTTTCCCTATCAAAGCTGGAACAAATTGGCGGAGAATTATCCATTTAGGAACCAAACCCACTATCATATTGTTGGTTGCATTCTGATTTTCTGTCCTCAGTTTTATGGTTGCTGCTAAATTCCCCGTTGTATCCCGTGATATTTATTTAGCATTATATCCCATATATAGAATGTTGGGCCTAATGCCCCCATAACCTTTGTTGGTAAACCCATAAATCATCTTATGAGTATGTATACTTATATAAGTTTGAAGCAGCGTTGGCTTTTTCTGCAAGCCTTCGAGCACAATCTTCACATGTTGCTGCGTCCACACAGGCGCAAGGCTAAATCAAAGGCAATTGCTAAAAGACCGGTCCACATTGCCAAGATTCAAAATGGGAAATGCAGGCATCGCTTTCCAAGGGAGGGAAGCAACGCGGGGCTGGGCCCGGCAACAGCTGCATCCAATCAACTTCAGCTCAAAACTTTCAGGGCTTAAGTTTGAAGCAGCGTTGGTTTTTTCTGCAAGCCTTCAAGCACAATCTTCACATGTTGCTGCGTCCACACAGGCGCAAGGCTAAATCAAAGGCAATTGCTAAAAGACCGGTCCACATTGCCAAGATTCAAAATGGGAAATGCAGGCATCGCGTTCCAAATCTGCCCAATGTGGATGAGCGCTAGCTCAGCCTATAGCTAAAGCAAGCAAAGCGGAAGATGCATCACTCAGCTCCAGGACCACATTTCTCTGATCCTGGGGCAAGTCAGCCAATAACACCTGACCCATGACATCTTGAAGGTAATGCTCCAAAGTGCGCCTTGACTGCCAACGGCCACGCCACAAGACGCGGTTGACGTCCTCCGTGTAATGAAACATCCAGGATGCACCTGAACCACGCAGAGACTTAGGCGTGATTCCGCGCTGTTTCTCTGTCGTAGGTATGCCCAAGGTTTTGAACAACAAGTTCCATCGGGTGCGAAACATCGAAAAACTGCAGCCAAACAGAAGTTGAGTGTTGGGCATGCATCCAAAAAGGCTATCCAAAAAGAGGACGGTCACTTGGTCGCTAATGCGAGCATGTTGGCGAAGCATAAATCTGCTAGTTTTGGTCTTCACCAGCTTGACATAGCAAATCAGCTCTGCAGACAGCACATCTCGAGGCAGTACCAAGTCCGATCTCCGCAATGGTAAAATCTCATTCGGCCGTAAAAGGCCATGGAAACCGAGAAGCATAGCTGCAGCGAAAAAGGGCCATTGCCAGAGCAAAGCCAGCGCAACGCCAGCCTGAAACACGCTGGCAGGCATCACCATTGCCCGCTCAGAAGGCTCGGCCTCTTCCCACTTCTTCAAGGTGGACCAGGCCGCCGTGATGAAAGGGCGATAGCTCTGGAAACGGTCAACCACAGTGTTTATGGTTTCAGCAAACACATACTTGGGAGCCCCAGAGTAAAAGAGATGTTTACCATAGGCGATCAGAGCGGTGCTCATAAGTTCTGGAGGGAAATTCTCCGCAAAAACCAAAACATCTAATTCATCCTTGATCCATTTGCAAAACGAATCAAAACAAACGTCCCTACGCTTGTTTGTGGCAGGGTGCCTGCTGGCGGTGACCTCTAAAGAAAAAGCTGAGCGGCTTGCAGCTGTGGCCTGTCGACTGCGGGGCATGCACTTCAAGGATTGCAAGCTCTGAGCACCGAAAGGCGCAGCAAACGACTCCAGCCAGATAGAGGCCACACCAATTGATCGGCTACCTGCACTTGCTCAAAGGTTGTAGGATCGCCAGCCAAAAGCATCCGCAGCCAGCGAGGAACATGGGTCGAAGGTTGGCGTAGCCGAACAAAACGTGATATATCATCTGAAGCATTGTGAGCTGACCCTATATGAAGAAGGTATGGATAAATATCACCACCAATGACATAAGGCAGGGTAGACCCCAGATAAAAGTTCAGTTGTCGACTACTGGATCTGCCTTTTGCATTCGCCCCAATAACGACCCTTGAATCCAACAGCGCACAGAAACGACTGTGAGCACGATATCTCGCCAGGTGCTTCAACAGGCTACGATATGAAAGGTGCTCATTGATGTTTATATGGTTTTGCTTTGTGAACCCGTACTGTAGCAGTTTCTTCCAGTGAAGTGAAGTCCCCAATTCGCCTACCCACTTCGGGGGAGTGGAAAAAGGACGTTGAGTTGTTTGAGCCTTCACTGAATCTAGCTCCCGCCGCAAGCGAAGGTTAAGAGAAGCTACATGATCACAAAGAGGGAGAGGGTAAGCTGCTGAGAAACTCGCCACTGATTGCCCCAATCTGGGAGAGGCCCCAAACACCGCTTCGGCCGAAGGACGGCAACTTTTGTTGAACTTCCGAAGTGTGGCGCGGTCAAAAGTGCCACGGATACGCAAGTGCTTTCCAGCACAACCGCAAACACGCTTGGCTGCAAGCTCGGCAAAGTGTGGGTTGTTACTTATCCAACTGCTGAGCTTCTGGAAAGGGGTACCCCAACCACAAAAAGGAAACCGAGTTAAAAGGAAACCAGCATCGTAAAGGCGAGTGTAAATATCCAGCTTGTACATGACCGAGCCGCCCGGCTGTTCAATACTGCAAACCAAATTGTAGCACAGACAAAGCCAAAGAATAAATCCCCCCCGCATAGCAAATTGATTTCCAATGTGGGTATGAGGCTTACCGGGATCAAAACCAAAAGGGGCTAAAAGGGATCTCAGCCGAGGCCTGCGTAAAGTGCCAAACGTGGTGCAGACAGGGGCCACATGCCAGAATCTGACCACACGCCGAACCAGCAGGCCAATGATGGCTAAAAAGGTTGAGGGCCGCAGCACATCTCCGACTGCTCCGTCCTTGATGTCGAAGCCGGGGTGTACCCGGAATCCGGCTGCAGCATGGGCTGCACTGAGATGACCAGAGCCCCTGAATACCTCTACAAAATCCCAAATAAAACCCTCTGATAAAGGAACTGGAATTTCGTCAACATGCTCCGGTGAGTCAGTAATCCCCGAACCATGGTTGGCCATGTACTTACCCAACGTTGAAGTATCTATTCTGGTATAAAAACCTTTCTGTTCAGAGACTCTGCAAAGCTCTAGAGTGGCAGCCCTCGAAATAGGAGTCGAGCAAACTCCACCGCCGTGCAACGAGGCATCCGAGCAGAACAACTGGTCCAGTGGCTGAGCACGTAGATTAGTGAAAGCAAATGGAGACCAAATAGCCAACATCAACAGCTCTTGTTTTGCACCAGTTGTCATCTGAAAATAGTCAAAACGATTGTAACAATGAGCACCTTCATGAAATACATCGTTCAACAAAGACAACAGGGGGCGACGAAACATTAATACAAAGATCCAGCAACCGATGATGGTTTCCAAAAGGTGCTTTGAAGTCCATCCCAACTGGACCAGTTGCAAAGTCAGCTTCGCCAGCATGAGAATACGGAGGCGAGGAGCACTGACCAAGCCCCGTCTCCCATCAATCTCTGCCCCCAAAATTGTGGTTTGGAAACTGTCTCGAATAGATTTCTTCTCGGAGACGCGGAGGCCAGCATCACGATAGGCCTGCCCCGCCAGGGAAAGCAAGCGACGGTCTTCGCGTTGCACTGCTTCCGAATTACCGCACAAACCCCGAGGTACCTTCTGCAGCACTGCCAAATCATCAATACACAACATCACCAAAACAGGGGACCTGGGCAAAGGTTTTCTGTAACACACTTGCATATCCTCTCGTAACACTCCGGCACGCTGCAAGAGGTTTGTATGGGAATGCTGCGCCAGCTCCACGGCATAGGAAGTGCCCATCGCCAAGGTTGAAAAACAGCCTACCACCATTTTACCAGCAAACTTAGGGTCCCAGGCATTAAAAGAGCTGAACGTTTCGGCGGGAAAAACACCATGCACATGATTCCGATCCGCATGCTCAGGAGGAACTTGAAAACAATGGTAAAAATCTTCCAAATCGTCAGCTCCCATGACCAGGTCCTCATGCTGATCCAGGAATAGGTTGCACAGCAAGCTGCCATGGGCTAAGGTGATGGTTGATGAATTAAGGCTAAGCGTTCGACCATTCTCAGGAATAGGATTGAAAATCTGCCTGTCTTTCTCTGTACTTTTGTAAACAGCAAACAAACCACAACGATATTTGTATTCGGATTGCGAAGCCTCCAAAAGTTTGAAGCAATGCACGTCATCCCGCTTCTTGAACAACTTAAGCAAATCATCCCGGGAACACATAACTCTGGCAGGTCTAACCTTGGGCCAGGTACTTTCAGGAGTGCGAATAAGCTTTGGGTCCAAAAAGCCAGCCTTTAACAACGGGTCGTTGATAAACTGCTCTGGGGAAAACGTGGGTGCATGCTTGAACTGGATTCTGTCTGGATCCACTGGCATCGCAGTAGATCCCTTGGATTGAGAGCCAGAAACGGTCCGGCTTGGCTGAACTGGAGTTGAACTGCAGGATGGAGAAGCAGGGTCTTGCTTAGCCGCCTCTCCGTCAAAATCTGCAGCTGCACCAAAAGTTGAAGGTCCCTTGCCACGACAATATGCGTCCAGCTCATGTCGCAAGGACTGTGTTGCTGTGCCTAGCTCATCCAAAGCTTCACTAAGTGAACTGAATTTGCCAAAAGCACGATCTAAACCGCTACTCGGCCCTGGGCTAAGGCGGTAGAACAGCCGTAGTGAGTTTTCCAAATCATCCAGCATTCTGCTTTGGGCAGCTGAAATAGGCGAACCAGAACTTTTTGTGTCTACCTTGGGTTAACCAGTTGCAAGTAGCCACATAAACCCGAAGATGCTCACGAATAATGACCCTAAGTTTGAAACGAGCTCGGCGCCTGCCAGATCTGACAGTCCCTGCAGGGATAAGACTGGCTGGAATTGGACACGGCCACAGTTGCTTCGAAGAACAGGAGCTGCTCCCCATCATATGAAGTTTTAAATTCTGCTTGCAGAAATTTCCTAATGGCGTTGCACTAGAAAACAAAACTTTGAAAATGCTAGTGCCATAGCTGCTTGAAGTGACAAATGAAGGTAGCAGTCTGCTGGCTCCCTTCGAAGCACGGTCAGGCAAGGTGGAGCTGGCAAAGCTCCTAGGCACTGCAAAACTGTTGGAAGCTATTCTGCTTCCGCTGCTGCCGCAGCCGTCTTCTTCTTCTTGGGGCGCCACTTTGGTGCCGGCTTCTTGTCGTCCTCCGGGACGTTCTCGGGGCTGGACTTTGGGCGCACTAGCTTGGTGGTCTTGTCGGACATTTGCTCCAAGTCCTTCAAGTAGGCCAGTTGCGTAGCGATCCATCTTGGGTCGGCCAGCTGACCGTGGGTGAACTCCGTCTTGATGGACTTGTGCAACTCCGTCTGGGCGAAGGGCGGGTCCTCCAGGTTTGTTAGCAAGTGTGCCAATCTCAGCTGACCTCCATCGCAGGCTGCCTGCTCCACGAACACTGCAAGAAGTGCAATCAACATCTGAACGCGTTGACCGTCGCCTCTCTCTGCAGCTTCGAACATCGCGGCCGCTATGAAGCCCACATACGTCAGCGTCTTCAAGTTCCCAAATGGAACCGTCTCCTGGAAGTGCATCCAAAGGTCTCGGGGCTCCACCTCCGAGGAACTGGTTTTGCGACGTGCAAGAGCCAGTCTGTCCTTGAAGAGTTGGTGAACCTTTCCCGGATGCCTCTTGAAGTGATCTGCCAGCACCTGTCTTGCAGAGATGCCCTTCACGCCGGACCCTCGGGGAGCGTCTTCTGGGTCCTCGGATGCAGCACCCAAGATCCTGAGCGGATCGGCCTGGGCGGTCTTTGCAGCAACCAGCTGACTTAACAGCTTGGTCTGGGAGGCCAGTAGCTTCTCCAATGTTGAGGTTGCAGGATTGGCTTCCGCCTCTGCTATCTCGAGGTCTTCTTCCTCCTCGGCAACCTCGACCATGCCACCAAGGGGGACGCCACCATCGGCTGCTGCGCTTGGACGGGCCACTCCACGGAGGTCGCCCAGACGCCCCGGGCCAGCGCTCGCCAGTTCGCGTAGTCGTTGCTGAGTAGCTGCTGGAAGCGGCCCTGGGGAGCGGTTGAACAGCTGAGGCTGGCGAGGTGGGGCATCTGGAGCAGCAGGGGCACCGGCTTCGAGACGATCCAGTCGCTTGCCCATTCCGCCAACTTGAGCTACTTGTCCTTGGAGGCCTTGCACAGCACGCTGCGTGACTTCGGCTTGGGTCAGCAACTGCTGAAGCAGCTGATCGGCAGGAGCCGTTTCTCGTCGAGCTTCGCCTCCAGGTTGATCTTCGCCATTGGCCGCTTCTGCACAGGACTGATAAACCTCCAAGCGTTCGTCTTGGCCTGCTTGAAGGAAGATATCCACCAAAGCCAGCAGAGATGCGGGCGAAGGCCAGTCTGGGGAGCCGCGATAGCTGCCAAACGTGGTGACCTGTTCGATGAGCACATCTCCCGGGAGTTCTGTCACTATGCAGTCGAACCCGGAAGCGTCGAGGTCGAACAGGATAACATCCAGCTTTCGCCGCACTGCCCGAGTGCTGACTGGGTCGACAGTGCCCTCCATATAAGGCCCAAGGATACCCGGGTAACCGTCCTCCTCGGCATGGGTGAAGTGCGAGATATCCAGTCCAAGTCGAGGTATGCAAACGATCGCACCTGACTCCACCACTCGAGCCACCACAATCCTGCAGCATTGCCCAGAGAAATGGAAATAGGCCTGTGTAGGCCCGCCGCGATCAGCGGCTGTCTTCAATCCTTCAGGGAGGCTGGTGGCCATCACCGCAGATGCGGTAGGGACCGAAAGCCTGCACCCAGAATAAAGGCTGTGACTTCCGCCTCAGATGCAAAGCCGTGCGATATGGCCTGCACGTCAAAAACCCCTTGGAACTTGACGTCCTCCAGATAGGTGCGGTAGTCGCGAGTGTAGTAAGGCTCCACACCACGACCGTTTGCCAGCACCACGTAGTACCTCACTCGAAGTTCTGAGCGTGGTCCGGAAAAAACACCCACTTCTCCTCGCCGAATTGCAGCGGCTTGTCGACCACGAGTGTAGGCACAGGTGATACGATGAACGCTGTCGGCGTTCCCAGTGCGCAATCGAGGTCCCAAAGCAGCAACCACAGCAGGTAAGACCTCTGGAGTCTCCACCAGCCACCAATCCTCAGCCTGAGCTACGACAGTCTCGGGCTCCAGTGCAGCAAGATCAGCTCCGCCAGGCAATGGGTCAGGTTCAACAGCAGTGACCAAGGTGGCCGCCACAGGGGTTTTGAACAGGGCCCTCAGCCTATTGAAGATACCAATAACCAATCTGAGTAAATAACCACAAATGGGCATAAACTATTGACGATATCTTTGGAGCCTATCCTGCCTCCTCAGATCAGGCACAGCCTCTGCCAAAGCGTAAGCCAGTCCTCGAAGGATGCACCTGCGAAGGTTAGGGCTCAGGCACAGAGCAGTGATCACACAACCAGTGATGAGGCCGCCCAACCAGCACAGCACACCGAGCAGCAAGATATCGGAGCTGCGGCTAGGACACAGCCAGGATTGGAAAATGAGGGGAAGTAGGGAATCTTATCCCACATACACTTGACCCGGCAACAGCTGCATCCAATCAACTTCAGCTCAAAACTTTCAGGGCTTATATACTCATAAACCCATTGTATCCATCATAAACCCCGACAGATGTCACCCCAGATTAATGAAGTCGGAATTTAAAAAAAAAAAAAAAACTTATGCTGCCCCCAGAGTAGCGTGTTCGATTACTCTCAAAATGGAGAAGGCGGGCAACCCCCCAACTTAGTCATCTGCTTATTTAGTACGGTCTTGTCGTTTAGCATAGCCGTCCAAAATCTCAGAAAATGACCCCTCTGTAGATGATTTAGCCATCAAAAATGACCATTCTTCAATTGCCAAAGGCTCCCTCCGAAAACCAACTCGTCGAACTAGTCATGGTCATGGTTTCCAATGGGTAAAAAATTGGGATGACCATGACCCATCCCACCTTGAGTTGGTGGATCCTTTTCCACATTTGTTGGTTGTATCGCTCACCCTTGGGTATATCCTTAATCATATGAAGGTGATTACAGATCCCATGAAATCTTACCCCATGCTTACCAGTAAAATTTATACCTATTTTAATTGTTACTATTATATATAGCAACCCCCAAACAAATAGAAGTTCCTGACATCCCAATTTGAAATGGTGGCAAATCATATGTTTTCATTTTTTTTGCTGCATTTTTTGGGGAATCTATATAATGTAGTTACTACATCCCCATTCATCTCCAATGAAAACCAACGTTTTTCCTCCTTCCCACGCATCCCCGGTTTCCTCCGGTGCACAGCCACCTTGGAGCGCTGCCGCAGCGCTGTAGATGGAAAGTTTCAGAACCTGCGCCGGAAAAAAAAACAGGAAAACCTGTGGTTTTACCGAGGCAAATTAGAAATCACCCATATGTTTTTTAAAGTGTACTATTTTAGCAACAAAAATTTGGATTTGCCAGGGAATATGCCATTTGTATATTTTTTTAGGTTTCATGCCAGACATGATCAAGTCGAATCATCGGCACGCAAACACTTGGAAAGGTTTCAGAAATGTTGGTTGAATGATATCAACGATGAAAGGGAATAAGATAAAACGAGACGAGACAAAATGAGGTGGATATGTTTTTTTTGTTGGAAAAATGTAGATTTTCCATTGCAGCATTAGATACCAGAGGTTCGAAGGTTTGATGTATTATTTGTGTATCTAAAGACATTTGAATTTGTGTCTCACATTTATAATCCCATGCCCCTACTACTAAACGTACCGCAAATATTAAAACTAAGGTCCATCCTGAATTTGGGGGAAATTTCCAGTTGGTCAATTTGATTTTTAATTGATCCTCTTTAAAGATCAATTCAAAATGAATCCAAATTAAAAATTTATCATGTTTCATTCAGGAAAGAAACACATCATTCCCAAAAATGATCGGTTTGTTGTTTCATGAATTTAGCCCCAGAAAACTGTAGGTCATCCACCGTGGGTGTGGTAGTAGTATGGTAGTTTTTGTCACCGAGGCAACCCAACACGGGCGAAGGAAATATTTGGGAAAAAATGAACCCAGTTTTTGCAACGCAACATTCCAGCGTTCCAGCATTCCCAGACCCAGAGATTGAAAACCAACAGTCACAGCTGTTGGGAACATCCCAAATAGCAAGAAAATTTGCTAGGGGTCGTTCTAGATAATGGGAAACACGTGACAATTTTGTTTTGACAGCAAGCCATCACTTAATTGGTTTTTCAATGGTTTGACACAGACCCAAAGTATTGTCATGAAACAAACCTATAACAACCCAACCACAACACAATTCACCTTGCGATTCTCCTCGACACTGGCACCAGCACCCATGGCGACGAACTGTGACAAACCACTTGGTGGTGTTCGTCCAGAACGCAAATCAAATTCAAAATTTTGACTTTGTCCCAGAATGATTCCACTGCGCACAAATCGTCGAATCAGATGCGAATTTATTTCATGCGTTGCGGGATGTTTGACATGTTGATACTGCAAATTTTGCGGGCAAACACACTGAGTCTGACTGAGTCTTCAACTGTTTGAAGACGAAAAAATTATGGGTCTTGGAACCGCTGGTGGCCATGCGCAACATGAAGCTGAGGAAATTCAAATGTCACATGCCAATCTGAGTGGATGCAAAACGCTGTGGTGAACAAACTGTAACAAATGCACTCACGCCTTTTTGCAACGAGGGGATGCAACTGTGGCCTGTTTTTCTCCCCACTTTCCGGCATAGGCCAGCAGTGCATCCCAACATTGCAAGACGTCAATATCGCATGCACAAGCACCAAGTTGTAAGACACGTTCCAACCTCAAACGCGACGGCCCATCGGCCAAATTCGAGTCGTGGGGGACCCGTGCATACCACGGCGTCAGCTGATGTTCAAACTCCAAGCCAAGCGTGGCATTGAGAATTCCCCTTGCCAAAACATTTGTTGTATGACCAGCAATCAAAGAATCTCTCACATCGTTGTTGTCGGTGTAGGTCACCACAGCACCTGAAAGGTTTTTACCCCAAACAAGGAAGGCACAGAACAGTGCAAAGAACTCGCGCTCGTATTTTTTGCATCTCTTGCCAGCAGGGTTCAGCGCATGTTGGAGGTCAACTGTTTGGAGAAAAACTTCACAGGCTTCCCTGAAGGGTCGAACCGCACTGCACCAATGCCGACAAAGGTAGAGTCGTCTGATGACTCAAAGGACGCATCCGTCTCAATAAACCAGACTGCATTTGAGGACGGGCGCAATTCGCGAGGTCTGCTTAGCTCCAAGAGTCTCACATGCAACTTCAAAGACAACAACGCTTTGTCATCAAGCCTGCACGCATGCCCGCTGTAAGCATGCTGCGTCACAACGGCTAACGGCTAACGCCGTCTTGGCAATCCGTCCAAATATGTTGCCTGCAACGAACTGGAGGCGATCCCTCAACTTCAGTGCCTCATGGCGCGACAACTTGCGCTCTTCCAGAATCGCCAACAAGGCCTGCACCAGCTCAGCACGCCTGCTCTCTGTGTTTCCAACTTTATTTCCAAAGATTGAACCACTCACGCACATCTCTATCGTAATGGTCGCTCTAAAACAAACGCGTTGTCTCGCTCCGAAAAATTTTAAAAACAATGATTTCGCCAAAAACCGTTTTTTTCTGAAATCACTACATGTAGTTAAAAGACATGTCTGAAAGAGGAAACGGCCGCGCACCTTTTTCTCACAAAAACATTGGGGACGATCCATCCACGCCCCGCCAAAGCCCCACTTCCTTGAGGCGTGACAGAACCACTGGTCCGATCGTTTGCCATGGAACATTTGTTATGGCACATCCCAATCTTTTGATCAAGCTGAAGTCAGACCTGCTTGGTCCATCGCTGATATTACTGTGAGAAGGTACTCTGCTGAACCATACCTTCAACTGCAACATTGATTCTCGGGCACAGAAATACTCTATGATGGCATCAGCCATTCGAGTCGCCCCAGCCCCTTTAATCAATCCAGCTCTGGCTGAGTCGTTGTCTACATAGAAGACAACTTGGCATTTATCAAAGCCATCACCCCAAATCGCAAGTGAGACAAGAAGTGGGAGGAGCTCCACTTCGTAAATGGGGTGCTTTGAATCAATGAAAAAATGTTGTGCAAATTCCTGAGGAAGTACAGATCCAAATGCCATAACAGCTGTGCCTTGCGGGCTCACAAGAACCCCACCAATCGAACATTCCTGTTCGCAAGCACCATCCGTAAAACAAATCCAAGTGGAAACAAGGGGGGGGCCTGAGAACCCAAAAGCAAAACGACAGCAAACAAATTTGAGTAATAATTGGTTTATTTCCCTTTCGCCTCTTGCCAGCATCTTTTTAGAAGATGAACATTATGGGCGCATTCACTGCAAATTTCATTTTTTCAGCTCTGCACAGAAACATTGAGTGACGGTGCGCAATAGCCAAGCAAGCTCATTTGAGCACGGTCATGCGAGGGCGGCTGATTTCCAACTCAACCTCCGACGCATGCAGTGGAAACCTCCCAGTTTTTTTTTCAGCTGCGCACGGAATAAATGAGTGACGGAGCGCAATAGCCAAGCAAACGCATTTGAGCACGGTCATGCGACGGCGGCTGATTTCCAAATCAACCTCTCCTTTCCTTTCCCTTCCTTTCCCGTCCGTTCCCTTCCTTTCCCTTCCTTTCCTTTCTCTCTTTCTTTCCCTTTCTTTCCCTTCCTTTCCCGTCCTTTCCCTTCCTTTCCCTTCCTGTCCCTTCTGTTCCCTTCCTTTCCCTTCCTTTCTCTTTCTCTTTTCCTTTCCCTTCCTGTCCCTTCCTTTCCCTTCCTTTCCCGTCCGTTCCCTTCCTTTCCCTTCCTTTCCCTTTCTCTCATCTCCCTTTCTTTCCCTTCCTTTCCCGTCTTTTCCCTTCCTTTCCTTTCTCTTTCTCTCTTCCTTTCCCTTCCTTTCCCTTCCTTTCCCTTCCTTTCTCTTTCTCTCCTTCTCTCCCTTCCTTTCCCTTCCTTTCCCTTCCTTTCCCTTCCTTTCTCTTTCTCTCTTTCTTTCCCTTCCTTTCCCTTCCTTTCCCGTCCTTTCCCTTCCTTTCCCTTCCTTTCCCTTCCTTTCCCTTCCTGTCCCTTCCGTTCCCTTCCTTTCCCTTCCTTTCCCTTTCTCTCTTTCTTTCCCTTTCTTTCCCTTCCTGTCCCTTCCGTTCCCTTCCTTTCCCTTCCTTTCCCTTTCTCTCTTTCTTTCCCTTTCTTTCCCTTCCTTTCCTGTCCTTTCCCTTCCTTTCCCTTCCTTTCCCTTCCGTTCCCTTCCTTTCCCTTCCTTTCCCTTCCTTTCCCTTCCTTTCGCTTGCGCCCACACCAACCGCACACCACCGTTCAAAGCAGCTCGCTCCCCACGCGGTTAACCATTTAAACGAAAACCCAAGCATCGAAGCTGCTTTTGGGAAAGCAATGAAAAATTAGATACAAAAAATGTACACGCCAAACGAGAACCCAAAAAAGCAAATCATCCTACCCCTGGCCCCACCCCTTTGCATCTATTTTATCGGTTAATCTATATGCGCACATAGCCAGCCGACAAGCAACCATTTTCCATGCTCGTTCTCCCCACCCATTTCCAGCCACTCCCTTGCAACCACGCCGTCCGCAGCCAAGCTCGCTCATCCCCAGCAGCTTCTTCTCCCCACCCATTTCCAGCCACTCCCTTCAACCACACGCCGTCCACAGCCGTCCGCGCAGCCAAGCTCGCTCATCCCCGGCGTCTTCTTCACCCACGCCGTCCGCAGCCGTCCGCGCAGCCAAGCTCGCTCATCCCCAGCGGCTCCGTCCGCGCAGCCAAGCTCGCTCATCCCCAGCGGCTTCTTCTCTCACCCATTTCCAGCCACTCCCTTGCACCCAGGCCGTCCGCAGCCGTCCGCGCAGCCAAGCTCGCTCATCCCACAGCGGCTTTTTTCCCCACCCTTTTCCACCCACTCCCTTCTTGACCCACGCCGTCCGCAGCCGTCCGCAGCCGTCCGCGCAGCCAAGCTCGCTGATCTCCTTTTTCGCCCCATTGCAACCACGCCGTCCGCAGCCGTCCGCGCGGCCAAGCTCGCTCATCCCCAGCGGCTTCTTCTCCCCACCCATTTCCAGCCACTCCCTTGCAACCACGCCGTCCGCAGCTGTCCGCGCAGCCAAGCTCGCTCATTCCCAGCGGCTTCTTCTCTCCACAAATTTCCAGCCACTCCTTGCACCCACGCCGTCCGCAGCCGTCCGCGCAGCCAGGCTCGCTCATCCCCAGCGGCTTCTTCTCCCCACCCATTTCCAGCCACCCCCTTGCACCCACGCCGTCAGCCGTCCGCGCAGCCAAGCTCCTTTCTTTCCCTTCCTATTCCCTTCCTTTCCCTTCCTTTCCCTTCCTTCCCCTTCCTTTCCGTTCCTTTCCTGTCCCTTCTGTTCCCTTCCTTTCCCTTCGTTTCCCTTCCTTTCCCTTGCACCCACACCGTCCGCACACCACCGTTCAAAGCAGCTCGCTCCCCACGCGGTTAAACAACTAAACGAGAACCCAATGCATCGAAGATGTTTTTGGGGAAAACCTTTCTGGTGATCTCTACATTGAAATCCTCAAGAAGGCTGCCACACTTCCAGTCGCACCAAAGGGCAGTGCGTTGACCAGCAATAAGATGAAGTCGTTGGTGCCAGCTTTTGAAGTGGCCACTCGAATGCGAGTGCGGTCCTCACTGCAAATCCCAAATTGCTTGTACACACTTTTCAAATCGATTGTGTTCACCCTCTGCCTGCACGAATCCAATGAATATGCCAGGAGTGCCGCAATGTCATCAATGCCAAAAAATCTTCAACCGTTCATGCAAACCTGTCGTTTGGTTCCCCGGCCTGGTTGTGCATAAAGACCGGCGCAATTTTGTCGGCCCACTTAGCAAGGAACCAAGCAAGGACGGTTGAGACTCCACTAACCACCTTAATGCCAGAATGAGTACGTGCATGTGGTTGCGGACTGACTGCAACCTTCACTGGACCACTGGGGGCACGTTCGCGGTTGGCACTCAAAGCTTCCGAGGCAGCACCTAGGAGCTCAGAGAGGAGAGGCCGTTATTTTAAATTTTTAAGGCTCAAGAAATTCAAACCAACAAACTCAAACAACTGCAATAGAAACGTGACGAATCGCAACGGCGGCTCCTCTCTTCCTTTTTAACCACGATGGGTACATTCGACATTTGTTGGAATCGAATTGCTTCAAATTGACAATTGCCCTTGAAATGAAAAGATGAAGTTCCAATGTGTCGATGGGATATGAATCAAAATCATCTTGCCTGGTTGAAAATCACATCTCGAGAAAGGATAAATTGTTCTCTCAAAGAAAACA